TTTTTAAATGTCTCATTATTATATATATTTATTAAAAAATAAATTTAGCATAGACAAACATTAAATTTTTAAATGCTTAATTATCTAGATATATTTATTTAAAAAATAATTTTTTAATTCATTAGGAGGCTTAATTGGCCGAAATAACACTGTAGTCTACACAATAAAGAATAATCTTCTACTCACTAAATTAGTGAAAGCACTTATGATCGAGATAATTTGAAATCGAGACCTTTCACTCCTCACATAAGTGAGAAGACAATCAGCTTAAAAATAATTTTTATAAATATATTATAATAAAATGTAATTTTCTAATTGGCTATGACTAAGGCTATTTTAAGATATTCTAAATTTTATTAAACACGCTATCAGAAATCTCATTATCCTCTTATTTCTACTTTTATATATAGTTTAGATATAGATATAGATATCGATAAGTTCTTTTAAATATTTTGGGTCACATTAAGGATTTGAACATATTTATGTTTATTTATTTTAAACAAGAAAGCAAAGTTTAATCATCATATTTATAAATAATTACATTTGTTTATAACATTGAAATAGATAGATTTTTGTACACTCATAGTCCGTTAAACAATATTAGTTATTTTAATATTAGTTATTTTAAACAATATTAGTTATTTTAATATCCAGTTAGTTGTTGTAGTGGCGGTTAACTGTTATAGTAGCTGTTAGTCATTAGTCATTAGTTTTTAGTTGGTAACTGTTTATATAGCTGTTTAAATTAAAAGTGTTCGGTAAAAATAGTTGTTTAACTTAAAATGACATTAGTTATTTAATTAGCTGAATTCGGAGAAAAAATACAATGTGTATGATTGTCAAAAAAATTTTAATTAAAAGCTAAAAGCTAAATGTTATAGTGTTTAAAGTTTCAGAAAAAAAAAAATTTGAATAAAATTAATACAAATAGAGTTTTGACTTCATCGAAATGTTAAAAATAGTTTTAAAAAATGTTAATATTAATTATTTATATGAATTATTATCGGACACAATGTGAAAGTGAAAAGAACAATATCTTTAAAATGTAAATGAAAATATTATTTCAAGACAACTAAAAGAAAAAGTCAGACTGTAATTTTCTGTATATATATATATATAGAAAGAAGTCATGACTGTAATTTTCTGTATATATACTATATATAATAGATATATATATTAGTATATATATATATATATATATATAGTTGGAACTACTGATAATTTATGCATATGCAAATAAATATTATTCTATCTTTTTATAACAAACAATATGAATATTATTTTATTTTCTTTTTACATAATAATAAATATAAATTTAGTAATAGCTTCGTGTGCCACAGCCACACACACACACATTTTAATGCAATAAAATTTTTGGTTCCATTCCTTATTTAAATTAAATAATGGGAGATTGTGTAGTTCTTTTACGCAACCTAGTCAAAAAGATACTCATTGACCAAGTCTTTGTCCTTTTTCCAGTTTTTCCCCTTCACTACTGTTGCCATAGTTTTCTTGACAAACCAAATTAATAAAATGACATGTGGACCCCAAACAACTGCTTCACTCTTCACTTGAATTTCAAATACAAAACTATGCTTTCAAAGAAAAATTCAATTTTTACTCTTTTCACTATTTTGTTTTTTTTATAATTTTATCCATAATATTGTATTTTATTTTTTATAATAATTGTGGATTTCGTACCACTACATATTCAAATTCCATTGGCATAACTATCTATATATATATATATATCTATATAAAGACTGAAGCAAAGTCAAACTTCAACTGCGTTCTTTTTTTCAGTATTTTATTTGTTTTTAAAGAATTTTAAGTTTTTTTTATATACCAATTTAACTTATTTTTAATCGGTGATAACTTTTAAATCTAATCCAACTAAAACTTTAAATTTATATATGGATACTTATAGATTCAGAAATTTTCAATTTTTTTCTTATCTCTCTCTCTATATATATATATTCGAGCTTTTAACTAGATTTTCATGAGTTCTTGATGTTGTAGTACTCTATTTTATCTTCTGCTTTTGCAATTCAATATTTTATTATCATCTACTTTTGCATTTTAATATTTTTTTATTTTATTATTTGTTGCTCTTTCAATTTTAGTTTCATTCACTGATTATAAATCTTGGACCTCGGAATTTGGTTATCTTGAGACATTAAGGCAAGAAGGGAGGAAGCAATTAAAGCTGCTCAAGATTAGGTCATATATAGTATAAAAACTTACCGTAATCAACCAATAAACATCAAGGCAATGAGGAAGATGAAGATAAAGAAGACAAGAAACTCAATAGTTGCATCTTTACTCAATTTATTTTAATACATATTCATGTACTATATAATTATTTTTGATTAATCTAGAATTTATTTTCTAGAATTTATTTATATCTATTAAAATTAAATGTTATCCGTTAATTAATCTATATATTTTAGTTTATTAAATTATTTTTTAATTTATTTAATAGTTGGTATTTAACTATAAGTCTAATTACATATCTATTTGATCTATAATAATATATTATTAAATAACTAGATAATTATTAACTTTTATCTAATTATAAATCTATCTGCATGCTATATCTAGAAAAATAAAAATTATTCCTTCAATTATCTATAAAAATAAAAAATATTCATTCATTTGTCTATATATTTTAATTGGTTAATTTATTTTTTAAAATTTATTTAATGTTAATAGAAAATAACTAGATAATTAATAGAAAATAACTAAAACAATTTGCTGAACAAATCATCAATGTTAATCAGAAAATAAGCCCTAGATAATTAAATCAGAAAATTATTTTTTAAAATTTATTTAATGTTAATAGAAAATAACTAGATAATTAATAGAAAATAACTAAAACAATTTGCTGAACAAATCATCCCTAGCAAGACTTTTGCATTATTACATTGTTTGTTTTCTGTAAAATCAATGTAAAATATAAATTTATAATTTTCAATATCATTTTTTTTTATCATCTAATCCAATCCAATTTAAGTTTCAGTTTGTTATTTGTATAATTACCCTGATAGGTATCTCTCATATTTAAAAATTTTCTCTACATAATTTTATTTCCCAACTTCTTCTTGCTATTATTTAAAATCAATTCCAAATATCTAAATAATGAAATTTACCAAGTTTTATCTTTGGCAAATTTCAACATATGGTACTTCCCCTGCTATTGGGTTATTTTGATAAAGAAACTTGATTAAAATATTATAGATTTACAATATTATGGCATTGCAAACAATGTCATAGTCGATTACAAATCATTTTGAACCATTGTTAATTATTTCAAGTAGGATTTTTAATTGTTCTACCTAACAATTTGACAATGCATATTAATTTATCAAAAATAAGAATATAATCAACTATAATACCTGCGCGTGAAGCGCGATTTTCAACTAGTTAAACTAATAATACCATCACACCCATAACATATTGATGCTGATCGAAAATAAAAGATCAATCCTTTTAATAGATTAGCTCGACATATGTTGCTGAGTTTTAAAATTTGACTATCAGATGATTGAATTTTTTAAAATTAATTATTGGTGGATTTCTCAATTAACACTGATATGTCATAATTAAGCTTTAATTTGATTTTTTTTATTTGATTTGTCATTGAATTTTTAAATTATGAGTAAAATAATAATATATCATGTGCGAAAAAGGAAACTATTTCTAGATAAACTCCTTCAAAGGCGACAAGAATCTAATTTTAAGGAGAAAAAAGCAAAAATAAAGTGAAAATAAATAATATTTAATATTAAAATATTTAAAAAATTAACGAATAAGAGAACAATATTAAAGATATTATGCTCTGTAATTAGGCAATAATTAACTTAAGGCTGATTTGATTTAACTGTTTATACCAACTAATAGCTAATAGCGATGAATAATAACATTTAGACAGTTAAAACACACACATATATATATATATATATATATGGATCATATTTAAGAAGGAATATCAAAATAGGAAAGTATACTTGGATTATCAATTCACAATAAATACAAAATTGTTAAACTGAAGCGACCGGACCAAATGTACAGTAGAATCACTTTTGCAAGCTTGCTGTCTCCATATTTTGCCACAACAGGGAAAGAGAACGAGATAAGAGAGTGGTGGTAGGACCCAAAAGAGAGAGAGAGAGACAGAGAGAATCTTGGACTGTTTCTAAGTTACTATAACTTTTGAGTCAGAAAGAAAATCAGTTTTCCTGTCAATGGGACCTCTCCTTGGACTGAATTCCATGCCTAATCATTTCATTTTTCAGGTTTCTCCATCTGCTTACTGGGCCCTCTTTTATGGGCCCCCCTCTGGAATTTTGTTACTTTGTACTTTTTTTAGTGGCCAAACCAAAAAAAATTTTTCAAACTTTGTTTTTACTTTATTCTGCTAATATGTTGAATTTAAAATTTAGTTATAATAACACCCTAATTAGAAATTGAATCTGTTTTCTCGACTGTTGCGAAACTCGTACATTCCTCCATATTCAACTTAACCCGAGCCATTAGTTAAACTAAAATGCATTGTATCACCATCATCTCCAACTAATTCTAATAATAACAAAAGAGCAAAACTCAATTATATTTTTTGAATCCTACAATTCTCAACACTTAGTACCTTCAAAAGCAAAAGCCCTTTTAACTCGTTTGGACCAAGTAATCGCTGATAATGCACAAAGCTCTCATCCATCTTGCGATGGAGAGTGAGACGAAGGCAGAGAGAGAATTACTTGGCTGACTGTTGCATATAACTGAAAGTGAGCCAGTGCTTGTGCCATTTTTTTATATTTGCTAAAATTTCTCGGAAGCCAGAAGTAGAAATAGGATATTAAATATGTAAGTAAATAATAATTTTAAATGAAAATTTATGTAGCATTTTGAAAAGCATATAGGTGAAGTATTGAACCTATTTTCTTCGATTTAGCAGTTGTTGGGCCAAAAGTTGGATATGGGCCTGATTCAAGCTTCAATTACAAGGCAATGATTTTACGGAATTTGTCTTTTTGTTATTTAAAGAAGAGAGTCTACGTGCCGCCTGCTTTCAGAAAACACGTCTCTTGTCTGTAGTTACCATTTCCCAATCTCTATCCATATCAGGGAAAAACATTTAAACTCCGTTAAACATGGACCAAGCAACAATTGGCATCTTTCACTTTCCTCTAATCACCAGAACATCACCTCCTTTTCTCCTTTTCTAAGAAAATCACATTAAATATTTAAAAATAGTAAAATTTTAACCATCGATTTATTTATTGGTTTGATTGGAGGAGTAAAATCGAATAAAGACGAAGCTCATTTGGGTTCTCTATGAACAGTTTCTTAGTTCTCCATTAAAAATACTGTGATTGCCTTTTCTTGCACTAGTGTTCTTTTTCCTATTATCTTTGCCAAACATTGTTTTTTTTTTGGATCTTAATATTGTAATATTATATTGACCTGTATACATGGCTGTCCTCCGGTTTATTCTTTTAATTTTATAGCTGTAATTTAGAAAAAAAAAAAAATTAACGATGCACGTGTCTGTAAATTCTTAGCTTACATGAATTAGAACTGTATGCTTGATGCTTGCAGGAGTCTGGGCTTGTGCATCTTGAGAAAACCGCAGACAAGTGGGGTGAGAATGGAAAAGGTGATGAGTGGCAAGAGAAATGATGGGAACATTATGATGCCTCTAATCAAGCTGAGAAATGGGCACATAAATGGTGTTCCATTGACCCAACTACAGAGCTTGAAGCTGGCCGTGCTCATGTTTGGCATGAAAGGTATCAAATGTGATAAGATTGGATAAATTTGCACTCTTCTGCTATCGCTGAAAACTTGGTTATTTGATGACTGAAATATCCATTTGCACTCTTCTGCGCTTGTTTAGTTAATGCAACTTCTTGAAAGATTCATCTTTAGAACCTGTCTTTTTTTAATAAACCTTCACATCTACTTCTATATGTGTATGCTCATATGCGGTGCGTGTATATACATATATATACATTCTTCATTCTCGTTTTTGAGAATTTTAATTGATTGCTGCATGCCTATTGTAGGTGGGGTGAGAAGTATGATGGACATGGGGGCACCGTGAAATACAGAGACAAATGGGCTGAGCGATGTGAAGGTGATGGGTGGACTAAATGGGGCGACAAATGGGATGAACATTTTGATCCAAATGCCAATGGTGTCAAGCAAGGGGAGACATGGTGGGAAGGTAAGTATGAAGAGCGATGGAATCGCACTTGGGGTGAGCGCCACAACGGTTCTGGATGGGTTCACAAGTACGGGAAAGCCAGCAGTGGGGAGCACTGGGATACACATGTGGAACAAGAAACTTGGTATGAGAGATTCCCGCACTTCGGTTTCTATCACTGCTATGACAACACACTACGGCTCCGTGAAGTTCAGAGTCAGATGCCATCCGATAGTTATGAATAATAAATTTTGCATTTTCTCAAGTCTTAGTATCTACTGTCTTATTTTGAACTAACAATTTCATGACCAAAACATCTGTACATGTATGTATTCCACTGTTGCAGCTCATGCATAACAAGTGACGAAAAAAATATGAAGATTTATATTTTTTTTCTCAAAAGTATTTTAAGCGGAAAAATTTAATATCATTTTTTTAGTTTTGCTATTCAAAAAAGAACGTAAATAATTTTTTAACTTGTTAAAAAGATAAGTATGAAAGGAAAGTTCTATATATGATCCATAAGAGTATATCGATATTATTATTAATACATTATATTTCCCAAAAAAAAAAAATTACATTAATTAAATTTCTATTAATTTTCTTTTGGTATTGAGAAAAAAATCATTATTGTTTTACTCCAAAGGAATTCTGAATTCTCTGAAGTATATGAAATGAGAATGGACCAGTAGAGCAAGTGACAACAAAATTTCAATATTATTTTCACTTTTTCAATTTTGAGATGAAAAGCACTAGGATTATAATAAACTAACAAATAACAACTTAATTAAAAAAAATTATTAACTTGTTAAACTTAATTAAGCTTCAGCTGAATACCACAGTCCATCTGAGCGTGGAAATTCCATTACCACTTGGTAAATGGCAGCAATGAACTCTTTGCGAAAACAAAACAAAAATGCTAAACCAAAAATAGGAAAAGAAGGAAACAGCAAATAAATTGACAGTGGAAAGTTCAGTAGAACAAAGTGCAAGTGATACAATTATGATTAATTTTAATTCCCAATAATGCTAACACTACAAACTTTACAAAAGACAGTGTCATCACTCCTAAAATTCTGACCTCCTATGAACAACAATAATTGGAAATTTCAAAAAAGAACAAAAGAAAACAAATAGTGGAACATCAGTTAGCAAAACTGTGACAGAAGAAAGAAGCCAATGGCAACAGAAACAAAGTCTTTCCAACTCTTTCAAAGATGAATATGATGATCATAGAAAATATATATTACCCCAATTGTTGAGCAATTGAAAGACATGCCAATTTGTTTTCTCCACCAAATTCCTTGCATCTTTCTTCTGTCTAGTTGAGTGTTCTATTATTTACAGTAGGATGCAACTTTTCATGTTCGATCAAAAGTCGAACATCATGAACTTTGAGATTCTTTCTCTCTGAATTCATCTATAACTCCATCTTTCAGTGACAAACCATCTAAAATATCATTTTCAGAATCAACCTGAAGCTCTTTGAACATGGCCATCACTTGTATCATTGTTGGTCGCTTAAAAGGCCTATCATCAAGGCACTCAAAAGCAATTCTCAGATATTGATGTAATTCAGCTTCAAAAGATTTCTGTGCTGTCAATTCAACATCCAGTATTTCATCACTTCTTTTTTCTCTGTGAAGCTGCTTCGCCCATCCTACAAGGTTATTATCATCCCCAAACTCCGAAGGGTCTATAGGCTTCTTGCCTGAGAGGAGTTCGAGTAGTATCACACCATAGCTATAGACATCCCCTTTCGTCGTGCACCTAAAGCTCTGATAATATTCAGGAGGCACATAGCCTGGAGTTCCCGCAAGGGTGCTTACACTGAGATGTGTGTCAAGAGCATTCACCAATCTTGCCATGCCAAAATCAGAAACTCTAGCCTCGAAATTTTCATCTAGAAGAACATTACTAGACTTCATGTCACGGTGGATGATGTGTGGTATGCAGCTGTGGTGAAGGAATGCAAGACCTCTAGCAGACCCTATTGCAATCTTCTTTCTTGCTGCCCAATCAAGCCTTGAGTACCCTCCTTTGGTCTTGTCATGAAGAACAGACTCCAGACTTCCCCATTTCATGTACTCATAAACAAGCAGTCTCTCTTCTCCAACTTTACAGTAACCAAGCAAAGGAACTAGGTTCCGGTGCTTGATTTTCCCTATAGTTTCCATTTCTGCCATAAATTCTCTGTCTCCTTGACCTGTAACACGAATAAGTTTCTTTATTGCAACAACACAGCCGTCTTTTAGTTGTGCCTTGTAGACCTCTCCAAACCCTCCAGACCCTATCAAGCTGTCAGCGCTAAAACCATTAGTAGCCTCAAGCAGATGGGCAAAGGTCAGCTTACGCAGAGGTTTCTCAAATGTGGCAATGTTAATGCTAAGAGGCTCAGGAACACCTGAAAGTTTCCAGCTGCTGCTACCTGAAGTTGGAAGGCTTTCAATATACTTCTCTCTCTCTTCTTCCTTGTGTTGGTACTTCTTCACTCGGTAAAGAGCTAACGTGAGGCCAAAAATACACAAGACAAAGAATGCAATGCCAATGACCATTCCTGCTGCCACTGACTGCTTCTTTCCCCTAGTATAAGAGCTTGCTGGGCGGTGCCCAGAGCCACAAGGGGCCAGTGGTACCCCACAAAGACCGGAATTGTTTTCATACCTGGATGCTGGGAAAGTTGTTAGCTGACCACCGGAAGGGATTACACCAGAGAGATTGTTGTTAGAGACATCAAGATCACTAAGAAATGAAAGAGTCCCTAAAGATCCTGGTATAAATCCTTGAAGATTATTGTGAGAGAGATCGAGAACTCCAATTTCTTTCAAACCTCCAAAACTATCAGGAATAGTTCCCGTTAAATTGTTATGCCCCAAGTTGAGAACCTGCAAATAGCTCATTAAACCAAAGTTTTCAGGAATAGTTCCTGACAAGGAATTGTAAGCAAGATCAAGATATATCATGCTGCCATTGTTTGCGAATGTGTAAACTGTCTTGCCAGAATAAATTCTTGTCGTTGGACAAGAGTGAACCATAGGGAAATTTTCCAGCCTCTCTGCTCGAATCCCCTCAAATTCAACAAGTCCTCCAGCTCCTCTGCAAGACGTCCCACCTTCATTTCTCACAAAAGCAAACTGCTTTCCTGACACAACGCCTGGAACAATTTGACCAGCTTGCTCTGCGAGCTCAGGTGGGAGGAGGCCAATAAGGTCGTTGCTGTTCAAGTCAAGCCAAATGAGGCTCCGACACTTGCCAAGCTCTGGTGGAATCTGTCCACTAAGCGAATTGTTACCCATTTGGAGTATAGCAAGGTTAGCAAGATTTCCAATACTGGAAGGGATATCTCCAGTAAGCTGGTTGCTAGAAAGTGAAATCCAAATCATATTGGTGCAATTACCAATGGATTGCGGAATGCTTCCATTTATGAGATTGTTGTTGAGAATCAAAGTCTCAAGGTTCCCTCCATTCATGCAAATGCTTTCAGGAATTGGACCTGTGAGGTTATTTGCCCACATAACCAAGTCGGAGAGATTTGGCAAGTTCCAAACCTCTAAAGGAATTGGACCATTCAGATTGTTGAAGCTAAGATCGATTCTCCTCAGGTTTTTACAGCTTCCAAGCTCGGAGGGTACATTCCCGGATAGATAATTACTAGCCAGAAGTAACTTCTGCAATGCAGAGGGGTTCGAGGATGTGCAGAACTTAGAAGGAACACTCCCAGTGAAGGTATTAGAACTAAGGTCAAGAACTTGAAGCTGAGTACAATTTGTAAGAGATAAAGGCACTGGACCGGTAATGTTGTTGAATGGTACATAAAGATATTTCAGATTATGAAGATTACTGACAACAGAAGTGAGAAAATCTCCTGAAAGGAGATTATTGCCAAGGTTTAGGCTCTGCAAAGAAGAAGAACATGATACAAAGTTCGACGGCAAACCTCCAGTAAGTCTATTTCCTGATAGATCCAATTCCTGCAAAGTCCCACAAGCCTGACTCAATTCAGGAGGAATATCCCCAAGGAACTGATTATAAGCTAAATATAACTGCCTCAAATTCTTCAATCCTCCCAACAAAGCACCGGGAATATTCATTTGTAGCTCATTATGAGAAAGGTCAAGAATCTCCAAAACCTCACAGTTACTCAGACTAATAGGAAACCCATTACCAGAAAGTCTATTCTGAGACACATTGAACAAAGTAAGATTACCACAATGCCCAAAATCAAGACTAGAAAAGGTACCAGAGAAGTTATTGTGGGAAAGATCGAGATGCTTGAGTGATGGTGGAGAATTTGCAACAAAACTAGATGGTATCTCCCCAGAGAACAAGTTATATGAAAGGTCTAAAACTGATAGTCTCTTACAAGATAAAGGAATTGTTTCAAGATTGCCAGAGAACTTATTATTAGAGAAATTGAGAAAGTTCAAATTCTGGCAAATAGAGAGACACTGAGCCAAAATCGCAGAATCAGAAATACTATTGCCAGATAAATCAAGCTGCAACAAAGAAGGACCAAACCGGAAAATACCACCAGGAATTGAATTGTGTGACAGATTAACATGAGCCAAATGATTACATGACACAAGAAAGGACTTTCCAGGTAAAGGATCAGAGATATTATTGGAAGACAAGTCAAGCGTTTCCAGAGCACAAACTGATGTGGCAGAAAGATCACCAGCAGAAAACAAATTACCTCTCAGACTAAGAAGCTTCAAAGATGGCAAAGCAGCGATGAGGTCAGGCAGGTGGAGACTGCCAATGAGGCCAGTATTTGTGAGGTTGAGGGCAGTAACATGGCCAGCAGAACAAGAGACACCAAACCAAGAACACGGACTAGAGGAATTAGCAGTCCAGTTGATTAGGATCTTATTTGGATCAGTTTTAATAGAGGATTTTTTGAAAGCCAATAACCCCGCAACTTCATCATTACTGGAAGAAGCCAATTTTAGAAAGAGTAGAAGTACATAACCAAAAATTACCATAATTCTCCATTGTTTCTTCATTTTGTTGTCAGATTTTTTCAACTGGATCCCAATTTGAGCTCAAACAAGCTCTATTTATGATATGAAATTGAATCATAAAATAAATCTTAAATCTTCTTTTTCTCCTCCTCCATTTTTTTCTCTGTATCTTCCATTTAACAGCAGCAACATCATCTTGTTCTCCATATTTTACAATTTGAGATCTGTTCTTCTTCAGGGTTTCATTTCTCCATATTATCTAACCAACCCTTGCTGCCTCAAAACCTAAAATGTCAAAAACAAAATTACTTAGATGCTGTTGGTAATCAAGAAAGATAAAATTCAGAATAATGACAAGAACAAGCAAATGAAACAAAAAGAAAAGAAAAAGAAAAAAGACAGTACCGAGTGTTATTAGGTGATGTAATAGGCAGTTGTGACAAGTTGAGTGCAAGTCCAAGAAACAATAAGAGAAGGCCGTTAAAGAAGACAGAGAGAAAGAGAAAGAGAAAGAGAAAGAATGGATACGATTTGCAGAACTGTCGGCTGTCACTCAAAACTTAGTACTATTCAGACGAATCCACCACCAGTCACACCATCACCAATTATTATATTTTATATATTTTTTTAAAACAAAAAGATATCAGTTCAGATCAGAATTCAGATCAGAGGAGAGTTATTTCTTGGTAGTCATTATATTCCTCCTCCTCCTCCTCCTTCTGGTTCAAAGCTTAGGTAAAGAAGAAGAAAGAGAAAGAGCAAAAATGTCAAGAAGAAAAGGAGAGTCGTGGAAGACCAAGTAAAGTGACATCAAAGAGAGGGAATAGAATAGAATTTTAGAATACTGAAGAGGACAAGTTGAGAGAGAGAGAGAGAGAGGCAAGGAAGAGGAAATTGAGGGAGAAATGCCTGCTTCCTAATTTTTTAATTATTTAAATTATTTTTCTTAATTTTCGAGTCCGGTCAAACTTTGGATTTGATTTATTTATTTATTTTATTTATTTTTGTCTTGTTCGAAATGGCACAGCTTGTACGTCTCTCTAATAATCTTATGTCACTTTTTTTTTAATTTAATTTAATTTAATTTTGTTTGTTTATTTTAAATATATTAATAGTAAATAAAAAAATAAAAAATAAAAAGTAGTAATGGATAGGATAATTCTTGTTGAGCCATATTTCTATAAAACTGTAACTCTTTAGCCCAACATTGGCACGAGACACTAACTGAGCTTACAAGCTATTTTTAGTTCTAAAATTTTGATGAAGGCCAAGGGATTCTCCTCCTTCAAGATTTAGACCAGGCCACCACTTTTTTTCTTTTTTACTATATATTACAATTGAAGACTCTATTCGAAAAAATTTTTATTTAACCTTTTTTCATAAATATGGACGAATTGTAGTTTAATCAATGTATTCATTTAATAAATGATAAGAACTCAAGACAAATCTATAATTTTTTATTTAAAATAAATAAATTTTATAAAATTTTGTGAAATTCGTTTACAAATTTATATTTTGTGTTTCATATGTAAAGATTGAAGATTAAAAAATTCACAAATAAAATTCATCTATATAAATGAAGAATAAATGAGTATTTTCTTTTGGATTTTAACTGTAAATTGTAAACCAATAGAGTTTAAACTCTGAATGAAATTGCTCTCTTCGTTTTCGAGCTATTCACTTACGTTATGTGATCAAAGGAAAAATGAGTAAGAAATCTCTTTCCAAACTCGAGCTGAACAAAGTTTAATTGTGCAACTCCATTCATTTACTGTTCTAATTTTTGAAAGTTACTAATTAAAATGGAAATAGTGCAGCATCTGATGTTCGTACAGCACTATCGACAGTGTCGGGCTTCATAACAAGAAATGATATATTCTGATAAAGATAGTCATTCACGTAAATTGCTTTGAATGCATCCTTTTTTATATTTTTTAAATCAATATTTTTATATGGCAGCTAAAAAAGAGTGAAAAAAATTGTACATGTACTTGGAAGCAAAGACCATACATACCGTAAATACGTATCCCAAAACTCTTGCACCAAGAAAAATGGTATTATGTCATGAAGAGTGAAGACAATACCTCAAAAAGTAAATTCAAACCCTAATCCTAATGCAGTTGTTGAGGTTTGGAGTGCCGGACAGGCAATTCATCCTATTAAAAAAAAGAAAATTAAATTAAAAAATATTTAATTATTCTTTCTTCTGACTAATCCATCTTTTAATTAATAAATAAATATGTATTAATAAAATCTTTCATTTTATAAAATTCAAAAAAAAAAAAAAAAAGCTTTCATTTTAGCAAAGACCATAACCATACCGTAAAATACGTATCCCAAAACTCTTGCCACAAGAAAAAAATGGTATTATTGTCATGAAGAGTTGAAGACAATACCTCAAAAAGTTAAAAAAAAAAAAATTTCCAAACCCTTAATTCTAATGCAGTCTGTTGAGTTTGGAGTGCCGGACAGGCAATTCATCCTATTTAAAAAAAGAAAATTAAAATTTAAAAAATTATTTAATTAGTTCTTTCTTCTGGACTAATCCATCTTTTAATTAATAAATAAATATGTATTAATAAAATCTTTCATTTTATAAAATTTACAAAAAAAAAAAAAAAAAAAAAAAAAAAAAGCTTTCATTTTCCCTTAAGCTTCACTTTTGCTCCAATTGGATGACTAACTTTCTTCCTTGGAATAGTTCTTATGTGTATTTTGGTTTTTTTTTTTTTTTCCACATTAAAGACAAAAATAGTATAAGGAATTCCTTTATGATCACTTTATATTGTATCTACAACCTTTTTTATTTTTTTTTATTAGAAAAATCTTATTTTTCTCAATATCAACAATTTTATTTATTCTTATACTAAAAAAAGAAATTTTTTTTTTTTGAATAGACTAATTAATTTTAGAAATTTAAGGAATTAAAAACACATTGTTTTAATATGCCTTGCCCTTCCCTTATAAAAATTCCAAATGAATAGCATATATATATATATAATATATATATATATATATATAAATTCCTGATGGAATGTGTGCTTTTAGGAAATGTTTTTCATTATTATCCATCCATTAAAATAATTCTAGGTCTTTGGGATTTCTATTAAGAGATTTTATAATTAAGAGAAGCTTATCCTTTAACATCACATTGTTTTTATTTTGGAAATTATGGAAATTATTTTTTTATTTTGAATGAAACTAAAATTGACATCAACTTTAAAATTTTTATTAGCATTAAGGAAGAAAATTAAAATATAATCTTTTTTTTTCAAATTTAAATATACGTTTGCTACTAAGCTAAATCCGTAAATGCATCAAAACTCTGAATTTCTAATTCAATTGATTACATAATGTTATTTACTTGATATTCCAATAAAATTAAAAATCCAGACTATTGAACTGTTAATCACATCTCATATCTCTAATATAATGCCACTTCTTCTAAATTAAAAAAAAAAAAAAAAAAAAAAAAAAAAAAAAAAAAAAAAAAAAAAAAAAAAAAACACCTTTGAGACATGACAATCAAATGCTCGAAAACAAAACAAAAAAAAAAAAAAAAAAAAAAAAAAAAAAAACACCTTGAGACATGACAATCAAATGTCGAAAACAAAACAACTATGGTTGTATTTGTCAACGGCTTTTTAGTTTTTAGTATTTTTATAACGTTTTGTAAAAATTAACTCATATAACGTTTAGCTTTTAACATTTCACAAAAAAACTAAACGAACAGCTAAGAGCTAACAGTTACTAAAGCAGCTAACAGCTATTAAAACAGTTAATTTTGTCGAAACCTATATTTAGAGTGTCTCATAATTTCTCAACAAACTATTTAATTTAGAAGAACTCAAATATGGGTAAAAGAAAGAAATGGAAGGGCTAAACAATTGATGTAGGATAGACCCAAAAAATGAAAGGCCAAGGGTAATGAATTTGTTTAGGTCAATGCTATTAAACAATATGGGCAGCATATAAGCATGCTTGTCAATCTTACATCATGATATTGAAATCACAATTAAAATATATTACTATTATTAGTAATCAAGTCTTGAAATAAAAAAAATAATTAAAATTGAGATCTTTCATATCTCCATATTATGAAAAAAATATAAGGATTTTCAGGAAAAAAATAAATTAAAAAATTAACCCTATTATTATTAAGTATATTTTTTAAAAATATATAAAATTTAAATTAGGCTTAATTTTTATAAGATGAAGGTAATATTAATCAAAGGGATAATATCCAAATTAATTTCTGAACTTAATATATGAAATTATTAATTAGGTTTTAATTTCAACATTATAAAAACTAAATTTTTAGTTTTGAGATATAATTGTAAAATTTTAATTAGAGAAACAAAATTTCGAATAAATTTGATCATTAAAAAAAAAACAATTGAAAAAAAATGGTGGTGGGTTGGTTGGGACTGGGAGTAAATAGAAGTAAAATAATAATAATAATAATAATAATAATAAAGGAAATGTGAAACACAATTTTTTAAAAGAGGGTGAAAACGGCACGGGGCGCGGGACGTGGGGCAGTGTGAATGTAATTTTTTGTTTTGGATGTATTTGCAATTTTAAAATTGTAGATATTATTAAATATTTAAATAAAAATAAAAAGTGGGGAAGCATTTTGTCAGTATGCACTGCACACGAGCGCATCCTATTCTCAATCACCCAATCCTTCTCTAGATTCCCATTTTGTTGCTTTGTAGACAACATTGTATTTTTAAACTGTGATAGTCGTGGATGACCGAACGGTGAAGGATGGCTGGTGGTGGCGACGGATCACCATTTGTAGTGGTTATTAGTAAATTATGAATTAAAAATATACATTTATAAAATTATAAAATATTTATTAATGTCTGAAAAATATTATTCTCTGTTGAAAATGAAAATTAGTTTTATTAGGAAAATATTTTGCATTGACTAACTTTTTTTTAGCAACCTAAACATCAACAAAATCTAGAGAATGTTTTTCAGACAAATTTTTTTTTTTTTTTTGGATATGATAGAGTCTAAATAACAAAAAAATGATATTAGATTATATGAAATTAAAATTTTCATTTTAAATAGATATATATTTATGTTATAGTTTTTTTTCTCTTCTCTTTCTCTTTCGAAGCTGAATTACTAGTAATTTTTAAAGCCGTTCAATTGTTTAACCAATGCGAGAACTTTTCCTTGCCATTCATAGTTGAATCAAATTTTAGAAAAGTCATTTGTTAGATCTCACCACAGATAAGCGGTCATTGTAATGGTAAAATCGTTTTAATAAATTACTTGAATAAATTAAAATTTTTTAATTTATTTATTATAATAAAATAGATTTACTCGCTGATAAAAAATACTCTTTTCTTTAGTGATTTTTGTTTTTTTTTTTTAAAAAACAACTTTTTTTTAGTGATTTAAATCACCTTTTCTCTCGTAACCATATATATATAAAAGAAATTTTGAACATGAAAATATATCTATTAATTCACTAATCATTCTATATTTTTAATATTCAATAATTATGAAATTCTTATAATATATTTATATTTTTAAAATAAAAACAACTTCACCACATCTTAATATTAAAAAATTAAAATTGAATTGTGCCATAAAAGTTAAAAACAGAGTCTTATAATATGTTATATATAAACAAAATTACAATATGATACTAAGTCCTGACAAAAACTATACAGGTACCACATCATTTTCACAGCTCCAAGCAATATATAATACTAAAGTCCTGACAAAAAAACTATTACAGCGGTACCACATCATTTTCACAGCTCCAAAGCAAATATAATATATATATATATATATATATATAATAATTATATACTAATATACATCCTTTGTGCAAATCATTAAATAAAATACTGTTTTTATGACAAGCAAAACAGCGGAATAATCC